ATTATTTTTTAATTTAATATCTCTGGATATTTTTCATAATTAGTTTGCGTACAACAATTAACAGCTTTAAGCTTTTACATTAACTTAATTATTAATGACTTGATTTATAGATTTTTATAGCAATACAAGATTGAATTTAGCAGAAGGCTAAAATTCTGCTCTGGAGACAAAAAAGGAAGACAGCGAAAATGACCAGCCAAAATAAAGATTAAAGAGACAATAAATTGTGTATATCTTGGTGTAGATGATTTATCCTCAATTTCCTATAATAAAACAAAAAATATTATTAAACTTTAGGATTTACCTGTAACTCCAAGCTCTTTACAGAAGTTCAATGTTTGCTCTGAGAAATTAAATGAACAAAATTTATTAAATGGTAAGTTTTTATATAAAAGTCTTTATGTCTGATGATTGAAAATCTTTATTCATAGCTTTAACTTTTACAATTTTAAAGACTTTTTCATATACTACAGTTAAAAAGTCAGAGTGTTAATTAACATTTTATTGTATAATAATCAACATATCAAAGCTTATACCACAGGCTTGGTCGGAAAGCGGGAGCGATCGCTCTTGAATACTGACCACCGATTAAGAAACGTCTAGAAAGGTATTAGAAACAAGAACAATTAAGAATGAAGTATCTCGAGGAGAAGCAAGCTGAAGAAAGATGTAAATCAGCTCCCCCACCACTTGATGAAAGACTTGACGCCAACTAAGAAAAGGTAAATCAAGTGTCAAAACTGTTAAAAAACATTCTTCTTAAAAATGAAATCCTAACTTATTTTTGTAAATTTTTTAGATACAAGTCTGGTCCAGCCAGTTTAGATATGGATATGTTTGATCTAACTTTGACAGATCAAGAAGACTCATTCGAAGGTAGTGATTATGACTTTGAAGGTATTGATTATGACATTGAAATACAAACCTGGTTGTTGTCGTCTGTTGTTAATTACCTGGGAGGAGATGTTGATCAGATTGGCATTTCTAAATCCAGTATTTTATAAGAAAGAACAAAAATAATTAAAAATCAAGGTAATTTTTAAAAAGACAATGGATATTACACCTAAAGAAAAAGTCTTTTATGCCAACTTTTTGCCAGTCAAAATTAAGTTTTTTTTTCAAATCAAAAGGTTTTTCTTCAGATGCGATATTTCTTGTCCCCGATTTTCTAATGTAAATCTATTATAAATGAAAGTTATGATACAAAATCCTACTATACCTTTAAAGAGTGGTATATTTACCTAAAAATAAACCATCATAACAATAATATATTGTATTATAAAGTTATCTTTATTTACTATTTAGGTAATACAATCAGAGAAAATTACAGAGAGATAATGACTGGAAAACACCTTGTTCTCCACTTTGATGGCAAGCTGTTAAAAACATTTAGATGAAAATACCTTGCAATCTGTTGTAAGAGATAGAGTTGCTGTCAGTGTTACCAGCTCTGAATTTGAGAATAAAAACAATCTCTTACTTGGTGTTTTACCTGCAGAGTCTGGCAAAGCTGTTGATGAAACAGAAATTATTCACAACTTACTTGAGTCCTTTGAAATATGCAATGAAATTTTCGCAATTGTTGCAGATACTACCAATGTTGATACAGGAGCCCATGCAGGAGTTCTAACCAGATTGTGCTATATTTTGGGAAAACCTGTTCTCTGGCTGTTATGCAGACACCACATGTTTGAAATAGCAATACATAGGGCAATTGTAATTGTCCTTGGATTTATTGCTGCACCACAACAGCAGTTCTATAAAGATTTCAAGAAGGACTGGGAAGAATATCACGCTATAGTTCAAAAAGTTGACCTGTCTGAGTTTAAGAAATTTGATAAGAAGAAGCTGGAAGTTGGATCTGAACTTGATAAGCTTTACCTGGATGCTCAGGAATATCTGATATTTGCTCTTAATCACAAAGTGTTTCCAAGAGATGATTACAATCATCTAGTAAAGTATGCTGCATTTTATTTAAATGTCTCACCACCAAAGCTGAATTATTTAAAAATTTATCAACCAGGAGCCAATCACAATGCTCGTTTCATGGCTGACAGTTGTCTTTACAATTTCATGGCTGATGTCTTTCCAATTTAGCTATTGTTATGACATCAGATATAATAGATTTTTTGCATAAAGATCAGTTACCCCACCTGGAAAAGTCAGCTTTTATATGTGCAGTTTTTTATGCTCCATGGTATTCACGTTTATACAAAGCAGAATATGCAGTTAAGAACGATTACCTGTCATTCAAGTCAGCTTATGTTATACAACAAGAGTTTGATGTCAAAATTGGAAATACATTTCTAAAATTTTTTCAGCAGCACTCTTGGTACCTTGCCCCAATGGTTGCTTTGTTAATACTGGCAGATCCAGATTTTGAAGAGAAGCTTGCAGTTCTAGACAAGTTGCTGACCTTTGAGGTACCAGATATCAACACTAATCCCAATGGTAAACCTGATGCTGTTCTAGTTTTACCTACCTCTGAAATAACAGAGTTGATTACAGAGGAAAGTTGGACTCTGTTTATTGTTCTAGGCATACAAGATGAAATTCCTACCTGGAAAACAGATTTAGCTGCTGGAAAGCTGGAAGAAAATGATTCATATGCATCATTTTGTGAGTTTGATAAATCTCTAAATGTCACAAATGACCAATCAGAGCGAAATATCAATTTAATCCAAAAATATATAATTAGTAGTATAAAGGAGGACAAAAGACAAGATAATCTGCTTGTTGTGCAAGAGCACAGGGCATTAATATCAAAAAGAGAAAAACAATTAACACTGGCCAAGTTGTAAAAAAATATTTTTTTCAGAAAAAAAAAATGATTTCTCGTATTTGCGTAAAATCCTAAAATCATTTTCCAGCACTAAATATGGATTCCTAGAGAGGTAAAATTTGGTTTATATACTTCTTTTTATGTATAGAACAGGTATTTATACTGCGACTT